TTTCCGATTGTTCAGTTATATGGCAGCTATAGACAGCTGACCCTTATGAAATTTAGAATTTAATATTATTTTTCCAAAAATACCATACCATGGAAAATCAAATCTTTCTAACTCTAAAAACACCAAAGTTACAGCATTTCCGATCAATCAATTCCGATATATTCTGCGTGCAAAGAAAAAAAGGGTATATGCAAAGTTTTATGTCGATAGCTTTAAAGCTAAGGGACTAGTTTGCGTAGAAACAGACAGATTGACATGCTAGGAGGTGATCCTGATCAAGAATATATATAAGTATACCCTCCGAGTTCCACCCTCCGAGTTGATACTGCCTCTTTGGTAGTTTGGAGTTGATCTTTGAACCAAAGAGGCAGTATCAACTCGGAGTTCCCAGGAGTTCCTCGGAGTTTTTTTTATTAAATTTTGAAAGTTATTGGATTTGTTGTGCGTTCATAGCACAATAGTTTCTTAAAGTTTTTTAAAATTTCAAATTTCAACTTCATTAATAGTATAAATATTGTACATATTTCGAAGGGCAATTTTGGAGTGGGCAGCCCTCTGTCTTGGGACCGCCTCATTGTTTAATCTTTGTAAAGTATTGACCCGCGCTCGCGATTTATTATTATCGCGGTCCCTTTATAGGGTACGGGATGTCTCGTTTACAGCGTTGCACACTTTTGACCAAAATGATAAATATACCCTGGAAGGCAGTGGCGGATCCACGGGGGGGGTTCTGTGGTTACATGGGGGGGGTAATTTTCCTAATTTTCCCCCCACACCCCCCATGGAACCACAGAACCTGAAAATTTTACTTGTTTGCTAGAAAAATATTCTCTGCAATAAAAAAATGAAAATACAACAGTGACACCAGCGTCAGTTGACACAAAAACCACAAAAAACATATGGACATGATGCCGCTTGCGACTATCGTATACCCCAGAGATTCGATATTTCTACGGGCATATACACTCGTCGTTAACTATATTTTTCATCGATACATCGATATTTTTTCCCTCAAGTTGCCACTCCTAGCACTATCCCGTTACATGATTATCCTATACGATAAAATAAAGTGCCCGATTTTGAACATCTAAAATAGTAAGTATCGATGTTGTTTCGATTTTACTGATTACACAGTGCGACAGTGATTTGGAACTTTTGAAAAGATCTAGTAGGAATTGTTCATTAGGTCGAGTATAGTATGAAACCATGTTTGAAATTTTTCATACACCCTCAAATCACAAAAAACGGTTTTTCGAAAGTGTTTTGCTCTAACGTTACGTTTTTCAATAGTTAAATGTTGTAGCTTTTGAAAAAAAATACTTCTTTAATTTATTTAAACAGAAAGGATACAAATTTTACAAAGGAAACTGACATTTTTGAATTTTTGTCATGTTTTTCAAACTTTGACGCCATTTTTTCGGTACAACTTCCAAGAAATGATTCTTAACACATATCAATATTGTCTCATTAATCCTGAATAAAACAAGACCAATTTCATTACAAAATTATGAAAATTGTTGAAGTAATTACGCTTTTCCCAAAACAAGTCAGTCCAATCTTCATAGCGTTCCGGAGCAATAGTGTGCCATTCCATTCCGCCTATTCCTTTCTTTCACACACTTTTACTCCAGAGCAGTGGTGTCATTTCCGCTTTTTTCCCGTCAGATCTGGGTTTTTTTGAAGCGTGATTGCGGGAAAAATATGAAAACAGCGGGCAGCGGGAATTCTGGCTCTTTGAGCAAATTTACGCAGCTTTTTTTTTTTTGTTTACAGTTTGATGCATTCTCTGTTGAAAATATTTTAAAAATCAAAAAGAAACAAATCTCTCCAATCCTTGAGTATTTTGGTACTCCTAATATAGATACAATTTAACGACTGTACGACATAACCATGGTAGAGTGGGAAAATGTCGATGATACTGTTAAGTTCTGGGCTGAAGTTCTTAAATATCGGGATTCTGGCGGAAACTGCCGTTTTCAGGAATTGGCTTCAGTTGCTCTGCAAATGCAGTCCTGCCTTGGTCGAATGCCGACGTCGAGCGGTTATTCAGCCAAGTACATTTAATAAAAACGAAAATTCGAAATCACATGAGCGTTGAAACATTAAACGCTATACTGATTATAAGGTCCATATTTTAATTTGTATCTTAAAATTATAAATTAATTTACTTAAAATTTGAGGTACGGGCTGCGTCGACACAATATGTGCTGTTTTAACTATAATATACCACCCAGCTGCCTATCTACAATTGAAGACAAGAAATTTTATCCAACTGATGATGATGATAATATTGACGACATCTTAAATATAATATAGATCTTAATTTTTGTACATTATTGTTTTTTGTGGTTTCTTGTAATGATATCCGTTAGAGAATTACCCATATATTTTATGTTAAGTGGAACTGAGGTCTTATTAGTGAATAACATGCAGTACGTTGCCTTATAAAAATCAGTTTTTTTCTTAACTTTTTTCCTCTGGTATTCCGCTTTTTTTAGCTTTTTTTTTTCGTTGATCCAGCTTTTTTTGCTCAGAAAAAAGTGACACCACTGCTCCAGAGCGCTAGTAAAATTGCACTGACTTGTTTTGGGAAAAGCGTTATAACTTCAACAATTTTCATAATTTCGTAATGAAATTGGTCTTGTTTTATTCAGGATTAATGAGACAATATTGATATGTGGTAAGAATGATACCATTTCTTGGAAAATGTATGAAAAACATGACAAAAATTCAAAAATGTCACTTTCTTTTGTAAAATTTGTATCCCTTCTGTTTAAATAAATTAAAAAAACGTAAAAAAATTGAAAATCGGCCTAAAATTACGCGTTCAGGAATTTTTAAGAGCAAAACACTTTCGAAAAACCGTTTTTTCGAAATAAATCAAGATTTGAGGGTGTATGAAAAATTTCAAACATTCCTACTAGGTCTCTTCAAAAGTTCCTCCAACTTTTCTTTTTTTAACGCACTGTGTTATTTTTGTCTGTGGTGAAATTCTACTGACCTTATTCAAAGGCATGATACAATTATACAAGGTAGTCATTTTACTTAAGTCCCTTATTATAATTATAACATAGAAAGCGTTGAATAGTGCGAGTAAAACGGTTATACAGTACTTTGATTAACCCTCACACGGGGCATGGGGCTAAAAGTTTTTCTTAGTTTTGACAAGAGTTGTGTTTATAATTTTATTTTAATTAGTTTTTAATTTAACATAATTCTTCGTTTTTGTTTTTTGACAGCCATTCTCTTGTTTAAGTTCTTAATTTAAAGTATATACGTATCTTTAACAAATTTTTTTTTATATTTACACCAATATCGACCTGCTCAGCGGCATTTAACAATGTCTGTTTTAAATTTTTAGTTTAATAAAACTAAAAAAACAAACTTTACGACTAGCACGTGCATGCGACAAGAACTGCAAAAAGTAATTTTTTTGGCTTGGCCACTTAAAAGTTTTGAAAAAAAATTCTTCTTTCAGTTTGACAAATTGAAATTAAGGGACCAAAACTAATAATTGTATAATTGTATCATGTTCAAAGGAGTGTTTACATAAAAATTAAGGTTTGGTTTGCTTATTCAACAAATATAGCACCCAATTTTGCATATAAAACCCGTGTTTTAACTTGGTGTTTCGTAACAAACTTTAGAAATCTCAATATAGAATGAGAATTTTGAAAAAAAAGTCGAATAAGGTGCAAAAATTCAGAAAACTTTTTTTTCGGATGCTGTGCAGTTTTTCTTAGCAGCTTCACTTTAAAAAAATGTGAATGTCATTTCATATTAAATTTATTATCAAGGATTTGAATATTTGGAGAATATGATTAGTGAAAATTTTTTCTGGCATTTTTGGGAGCATAAAAAGCGACAAGTGTATTATTATTTTCAGTACGATACAATATTGGTATTTTTCTTCTTGGTAGAAAAACTTTGTTTTATATTTACAATTCCTATCTTAGTCATCTCGACAAAAGTCCATATCGGCTTACTTTGCACCTGCGAAAAAAAGAAAACTAGATGAAGATGTTGCGAATGTACATCGAGAAGAAAACGAGGTTCCTCATGTAGTGACGCATCAAAACATGGCTTAGGACGACCATGCTTCAAGAAAGACTAGTTGGATAAGCGTTGCTTCATACGCATCATGACATCGAAATCACCGCCGAAGAAGTCATCGAAAGATTCGCAAAACTTGGCAGCCATCGTTTCGCATTATGAAACACGCTATGTAAAAGCGTTTTTCTGTTTGAATTTCGAATAAAATGAGCCACTCTGTAATGCATGCATGACTTTTCAAATATAACCACTTTGTTTACCTAAAAATTGGGATGGATAATTTTTGTTTTATAATTTGTACTGTATTTCTCTCGCAATCAAAAGTTTGAATCCCAAATCGAAGAATAAGTTCAATTCCAAAGTTCAATTTTTTTAACGTAAGCTAAAGAAACTTGTAAACAAAAGTTGTAAGCCAAAAAACTAAAATTTCACTAAGAAGAATACCAATTTTTATTTTCCAAATTTTAGTTTATAAATCAAATCAGTATATAAATCAGACAACCAGATGGACCAACTAGACAAATTTTTCGATTGGGAAGTGCAGTAAATCAATGTACTGTCAATGTACTCGCCTCAAGAGTAGATTTAAATGAAGATATTTTATCCGGGAGTTATAATGTCCTCACTAGCCTTAATTATGTGAATCGATATTATTTTACTTTTACCAAAATTTCTCCCAAAGTTCTGGCAAATTATTTGATAAAAATAAAAAGCAATACCTTTTAATTATCATTCATTCAAATGAAAAGGACACAGAAAATTTGTACTTCTGCTATAAAGGCTTTCTTCTTTTCGTTCAACTTTAGAGACATGATTTTATTAACCGATTAGTACCAAAATGGTCTTTGAACCAGATTTTTATTTCCTTTTGCGGATTTCATTTGTACTTTGAGTAACAGGAAAAAAATTTTTAAATTAGTTTAATTTTTTTAAAGAAAAGTTCTTACCTTAAGCGCTATGGATGTATGAATAGTGACATTCTCATTAGTGCAAGATATATCGCATAAATCCAAACGGGCATTTGGGAACAATAGCAGGCTTTCTGTGATACCAGACTACAAATAATTGTTTTAAAAACAATGAATTTGTTTTAATATTTACAAATAAATTGTTCTTACCGAATAATCGATGCGTTCTGGTAAACCTAAAAACCTCGCCTCACAAATACGACGCACTTTAATGCTAACCATAATAGCAGCCGATTCTTTCATTGCGCAATCATAAGCTACTACGGATAGAATGTGGTTATGTGATACCTTATGCGAAAGTGGTTCAGTGTTTTTGATTGAGCCTTCATTGTCGATTGAAAATGGTTCATCATTGTTAAGAATCTCATATTTGCAAACATCACCAAAAAGTGGGGTGCAGTCCTTATCAGATGCTTCAACTCTTAAAATTTCATTATACAGTCGCCCTTCTTCGACTTCAGTTACATAAGACGGTTCCAAAAATATTGGTGCATACTCGTTTATGTCAATAACAGTAATATGAACATTGGCTTTGTTTGATGGGGTCCCATCGCAATATACCGCTAGTATTTCAAAATGATAACTCTTCCTTTTTTCACAATTTAGTAAGCGGCGTGCTCTTAAAATGCCAAGGTTATTAACTAATTGAATCTACAAATAAAAAGCAATACAATTTTTTGTCATAAATTAATTTTAATTACTCTTACCTCAAACGGAATCTCATGGTATGGTTTTTTTAAAATTCGAAAATTACAAATTTTCTCCTCATCCACTTTAATTAGAGGAGTTATTTCGACGAGTGTTTCATTTTCTCGAATCAGACCATGATACGACTTTTCCAAAACAATTTCTTAAATCATAGTACAAATTAATTTAAACAGGAATGAAAAGTTTACTTCGGACGGAGCCGAAGTTTACATAGCCTTGCAGTTAGATGGCGGAGTATGTATAAAAAATATATTAAAAGATAAATTTACATTTATGAATATGTTATGGGTCTTATAATTTTTGTTTACTTCAAAAATAACTTTTAATAAAGGTCATAACCTCTGCTTAAATCGACTCAGGAGGAAATTCTCATCAAGAAAATATGTACATATGTACATATATAAGTTTTTTTTTTTCATACAAGCTTTAAACAAGAAAGAACAGCTTAATAACCGAAGACTATGGGTGTGCAGCGTTACGGTCATTAATAGTTTAACTGAATGAAATTATCTCTGTAAATGTGACTTACTAATATCGTATTAAATATTGGAATGTAAAATCCTTAAAATCCGTAATTAATTCAGACGGACGAATTGGTAAAAAACCTGGAGGGGTATGATTTTAATAGTTTATACAGATTTGCTCTGAAGGGCTCCAAATACCCAAATCATCGACTTGCACATGCATTTGTAATTTATTTTACATAGGTAAAATACCTTTTTGAGTTAGATATTCATCTTCATTATCATTTGATGTCACTACTCCAGCTCCTAGGATAACACATAATATAATAGCTTGGGAAATCCAATGTGAGTAGTGGAAATTCATTGCTAACGATTAAAATTTTATCTGAAAAAGACGACCATGGTTTGTACAAATAAGTAAAATAAAATTTTTATAAGGAAAATATTAACATTAAGGTCAATATTATGTTTGTTTTATAAGGTCCGGTCCTTATGTTACTTAACATAAGGGAAACACTAATATGTAGTATGTATACCCATATGTAATATACTTTAATGTAGGTATCCAAGAGATACACACTTTGTAACAATAAATTTTATTTGTTAATTTCACATATTTCCCGTGTACGGTAACTTTTCAATATATTAACAAAAAAAATTTATTTGTAGTTTGGATAATGTTACATTAACATTTTTATTGGATTTGAATTTCTCCATTTGAATGGACAACGAATAAAATATTATTTTTTTTTTTAATTTTGGTCTTTATTACATGATTTATTTTGTTACTGTTAGAGATTGTGTAAACAAAATTTATGTTTCAGTAAAGTTTTTACCTATTTTTTTTATTAAATACCAATGCGAAGCGAAAACATTTAATCGCGCAGTTCAATCACAAATTTTGTTTAAATACCATTAATATACCACACTATTTTAATACCATAATTAATGCTGGTATTTATCGGTAGATACATTGTATATGGCTGGAGACTTCGCTGAAATACTATTACTATAAACACTGCTACAAACAATATTTAGTACTGAGATCGAAAAACATGTTTGACGTGTAAAATCCTTTATTCTTTCCAGTATGAACGAATATTTTCAAGGTACGCACTACGGGCCCCACCTAAAATTGATTTGAATTTTAATTCAAACATTGACAATGGTGGAAACAACTTTTTAAAACAAAGTCTTTTGGGAATTTTGTTAATCTTTTTGCTAGACCTGTAAAACGTTCTTTGGTGCAACCCCAAGTAACTTTCTGGTTTTTTTTCTTCTTTGATATGAGTACAGGGTATCGAAAAGACCCCATCAAAATTTTTTTTAACCTATTTGGCTCTTGCTCACTCCCATAGCTGAATTATTGATAGCTCCGAATTATTGAAACATTGTCTCGCTTTCCGTCAATTGAACTTTCGCTACCTCCACTGCTCGTTTGAGACCCATTTTTGCCCCAAAAAACTTCTTCAATTATTTTTCACTTTTTTGTGTTGGTTGAGATACACATCATGAGCACAGGTCAACACAATTGTTTCTATTGCATTCAGCCAACTAATTGCTATTGCATGATTGCAGTTTTACGCCGATATTGCATAATCGATCTATAATACTCAAATAAAATTTTACTGAATTGTGAATTTCATAAAACCAATTTATTAAAGTTAGTACCTTAAACTTTAAAATGCATTTTAAATAATTAAATTTGGAGAATTTTTGCAAACGTCCGACCACTTTAAACTTTACTTTGTTAAGAGGAGAAGCTAACTTAACGCGGCTACAGCTGCAAAAAACTAGCTTCCAAATACAAAATAAGGAAAATTTACAGACAAATTCTTTACATTTTTAATAATTATATTAAGTCGATTTATTAAGTCGAATTATGAACTACGGGCGCAACTGTGGTTTGTCGATTGCCGAATCAACATATTCAAATAAGCTCCGCACTCATTAAATATGACAACAATCGTGACACGAGAAGCAGTACGGGGCGAGAGGTGTTTAAGTCAATGTATCTTACAGTTCCTGAGAACTAGCGCGTATTGAAAGAAAAAGTTTTAAAAGGAATTTTGTAGCTCTTGTGAGGAGATTTAGTCTCCCCACACGCTAAGACAGATGGCCGGGGGCAAAGGGGGGACCGAGGAGGCGCGATTGCTGAAAAAGGGGGTCAGTCTTCATCTAGCTTTCTTTGAGTTCGGACGTCTACTTTTTCGCTCATGTCGCCTCTCGTTTGCACCGAGTGCAGTGCAGAAGTTACTGCTACCCAACTTCGTGGGTGTGAGGCCGTTCGGTGCGCGTCGATCTGCCGGCGTGCCTATCACACCGCTTGTGTTGATTTGCCCTCGGAGGCTATAAAACTACTTATTAACATTCCGAACTTAATGTGGCAATGTGATAGCTGCGTCATTGGAAATGATTCGCATTCCAAAATTGATGAGCTAAATCATTAAGTTCTAGATCTGGAGTCCCGCTTCGAAAGCCTTAATGCCAAAGTTGACCTAGCCCTGGTAAATGGAGCGGCTGTGCCCGCTGGACGCGCCTCCTCGGCTGGGGTGCAAGTTGTTGCTCCCCCTGCTATGCCCACGAGCACTGGGAGCATAAAGGCTACTCTGGGGCAGGCCCCAACGGCATCTAAGGGGGCTGTCCCGAAGAAGAAGCGGATCAACCCTAATAGGCGCATTGTGGGACAAGCTCCCAGTTGCGCTCAACTTCAAGTGCTTCCCACCTTGAAATATCTTCATGTGGGTAAATTCGCGACGTCTACCCAACCGGATGCACTGTGCAAATTTGTCGCAGATAAGCTGAACGTGGAGCCCAATGATTTAGTCTGTGCTAGGCTGATCAAAAAGGATGCTGACATCAAGCTCAAGTTCGTCAATTTTAAATTGGGAGTTCCGGAGCAAAATTTCCCAACAGTCTTTAATGACGATTTTTGGCCTATGTCGGTAAAAGTCAGCCGGTTTGTTCATAGAGAGCCGGCTAAGGTTATTGACCTCCCGGCGATTCTACCTTTACCGCATTTGCAATCTTCAAAAAACCCCCAGTAAGCGGCGCCGCTGTCGCCGTTACATCTTATTCTTCTCAAGCTGCAGTTCGTCACCCCGATTGCTCTCTCCTGCGCTACCAACAACAATCGGCGTGGGCGTTCATGGTAACGGTTGACGCTGTCTTCAATTCCTCCAATAATTGGCTTCGTTTGCTGATCGATATTCTTCAACAACAACAACTTTTTTCAAGGCGAGTTGTTTATTTCTTATCTTCACTTGTGGATGCCCAGCAACAACAAGACGATGGTAATCGAGACGTTGGCAGCGCATCGCTTATCATATCTCTTTTCACTGGGCCACAAGCTGGTGCTTTTTTTTCGATGGAAGATGTTTATTTACGTTTTGGACCCGTGGGTGGATCTTTGCTGCGTTTGGATGTGCCTGACTATGAACGCTCAATGTTTTCACCTGGCACGGAATCTGCCTTGCTACTGGACTCTCGCAGGTCTACTGATGAGTCTAATGGAAATTTCTATGTGTCCTTGTCGGCTATTTTGCAAGCTATGCGTATTGGATATGCCTCCACATGCACCAGCACCAGGAGTGCACTTTCACCATCACCGCCTTGCCGTCCAATTCCCAGTTTGGACTGTAGCTACTCGTCGTCCTTGGACTCTAATAAAAGCCTAAAAGTTCTATTCCAAAATATATCGGGAATGAGAACCAAGACCCGGATGGTATTCCTCAATTCTTCTGCCTGCGATTTTGATGTAATCATCCTTGTGGAAACCTGGCTCAATGACAAATTCAGCTCCTCTGAGTTCTTCGAGCCTAATTTGTACCATGTATTTCGAAAGGACCGAGATGCATTCAGTACCCAGTGTGAGCGAGGTGGAGGTGTGATCATCGCTATCCGTCGATCTGTTCAGGCTACACCACTGCGCCTTCCGGTGGCCGACCCTATACTGGATCAGCTTGCTGTTTCAATCCAGGGCTTCCATGGCCCGTTCGTCATCATTGCATCATACATCCCTCCGAACAGCGCATTTAGTATATATCATGCGCATATGGAAAACATCACTAGTGTCTGTGCTAGAACGTCGGACCCTACCGCTTTGATGGTAGCTGGCGATTTCAACCTGAGCTCCATTGTCTGGTCTTGGGACCCGGAATCTCCCTGCATGCTACCTAGCAACGTTCACCAGAGTCATGAAATTGTAGTTTTAGATGATATTTTTAGTCTGGGCCTCTCCCAAGTAAATAATATTTTTAATGATTTATCCAAAATATCCAAAATTGATCTTATATTTTTAAATAATTTGATTAATAGTAAAGTAGAATCATGCAATGTACCATTAAGTCCTTGTGATATGCACCACAAGCCGTTGGTAATTAATATTGAGTTTTATAGTTTTTTGCCTTCTGCTTCCCCCATTCCATATTATCATCTGAATGATACTAACTTGTCACTTATTAACGCCTCAATTTCAGCCTTTGATTGGGTTTCCCTTTTTTCGGATGGCTCAATCGAAGATTGTTATACTAAGTTCTTGGTTGCCCTTTTTAATATTATTGATACTTATGCCCCTGTGAGGGTACGAAGATCCTATAGGCTTCCCTGGTATACAAAAGGTTTAAGAAACTTAAAGAATAGAAGGGATAAGCACTACAAACGATTTATATTGACAGGTGAAACTCGAGCAGGAGAGCTGTACCGGCAATTTAAGCGGGAATTTGATTTCCTTAATAAGTTCCTCTACAATCAGTATATATCCGATGTCGAAGCTAGCCTTCGATCCAATCCTAAAGCTTTTTGGCGGTTTGTTAACAGCAAAAAGTCAAAATCGGACATACCTTCATCCATATGTTATGGTAATTTAGCAGCCGACTCGGATTAGGGCGTTTCTGATCTTTTTGCAAAATACTTTGCCTCTAACTTGGAGCCGAAGGTTCCTTGGAGTGATCATGAAACTCTTCTTAGCATTGAGCCTTTTCTTAATGTGAGTAACATGGACGTTTTGGACGGTGACCTAGTTGAAGCCACTGGACATCTGACCGAGTCGCTCACACCTGACGTGGACGGTATCTCCCCATTCTTTCTTAAGAGAAGTATCGCTTCTCTTTCTACTCCCCTTCAACTGCTGTTCTCCTTTTCGCTCTCTTCTGGTAGATTCCCCCACCGGTGGAAGATTACTTCTATAACGCCTATTCACAAAGGTGGCAGTAGGTGTGATGTTACCAACTATCGACCTATAGCCAAAATTTGCAACGTCGCTAAGATACTGGAGCGGATAGTAACTAAAAAATTGACTTTTCTGGCTCGCAATTTTATATCCCCCAACCAGCATGGTTTTTTGCCTGGGAGGTCCACTACCACTAACTTAGCGGTCTTCTCTAAGCACTGCTTTGAAGCTTTTGAAAACCGATTTCAGGTTGATGCCATTTACACCGACTTCTCCAAAGCCTTCGACAAAGTCTGTCATGCTGCCCTTCTGGCCAAATTATATAAGTTAGGTATTCATTCCTGCCTATTAAGTTGGTTCGAGTCTTATCTGGCTGACCGACCTTGCCACGTTACTATTGGAGACGCTATCTCAAGTCCATTTGTCACATCCTCTGGTCTTCCACAAGGCAGCTCTCTTGGACCTCTTCTATTTATAATTTTCATTAATGACATCTCGTCATGCTTTCGTCATTCGCACTTTTTAATGTATGCGGATGACCTTAAAATCTATAAAGAGATTAGCTGCATTAGTGACAGTTACTTATTACAGGAGGATATATCCAGAGTTTACTCATGGTGCTCCCGCAATCTTCTTCCATTAAACTTATCTAAGTGTTTGTTTACCCGTTACAGTAGGCGGTCTCTTGAAATCTGTACGGGTTATTCAATCAATAATTATAATTTGGCAGCTAAAGAAGAGGTGTTAGACC